CTGAATAAGGAAAGAAGAATGCAGATACATCACTTCAGTTATAATAAATGCTTGATTTCTTTTAATCTCCAGATTCCAATTATTTTCTTTTCAAACTTAAGAGCACTGTCTGCTTTCTGAATCTATTGTTACACTTACTAATGGGTCCGAGCTGGCTGTATTATTTGCCTGTTAATTTGAGTACTTAAAAATATCTATTTTTAATAATTTTCTCTCCCTCTCTTTCATCTACCCTGTTTCCCACACCTTTCCATCTCACGAAGGAAGTGGTTTCTAATACCCTTTCTCTTCTCTGTCCCTTTGGCCTCCTGCTTCTGAATCAGCACAACAGAGTTAATAATTTAACCCCATCGGTCTCCTCCAATATGGCTCTTACACTGGAGGACAAGGGTGCAGATGAGAAGGGTTTCCACACAATGGGAAGCGACAGAAGCAGAGACGGAAAGTTTGGGGATGGGGGATGGGTAGAGGTGAGCTAGGGATGGGGGATGGAGGAGGAGTCAGGTCTACAGTAAGGCTTCAAAGGCTTTCAGATGTCATGTTTGCAAAGATTTTTGTAGGTTTTCTTAAGGAATTTTGAGGGTACTTAGCTTTGTAAGCAATGGAGAGCCATAGGAAACTTTGAGGGGAGGGGAAGATATGATTAGACAGCTTTTATGTTGGTTTGATTAGCTTTTTTTCCCCCCCAGGCAAAAATGACTCCATTGTGGTAGGAAAGATAAATAGAAAGGGAAAGAAACTAAAGGCAGGAAAAGCAGTTTAGAGGTTACTGCAAAACCGAAGTTCAGTCCTTTGGCTTGGACTTACGCAGGGGGATGGAGAGGAAGGGACAGATTTAAGAGTTCAATTGACCTGACTTCGCTGCTTTTTAGAATGACAAGAGAAAGACAGACAGAAAGTTTAGCAAGTGTGACTGATTTTCCATAGTCCATGAGTGGATGATGATGTCATTTAATGACATAAAAAATAAAATGCAGATGGAGAAGAGCGATTTAAAAGCAAGATAAGAAGATTGGTTTGGGATTTACTTGCAGAATGTCCTGTACAGTGTTGTGCTGTGCTGTGTTAACAACTTGCTTTCCAAAAGCAGAAAGGGAAAGAGGAGGGGAGGGGAGAGGAGAGGAAAAAGAAAGCCCTGATTATATCAGATTTCCCATGGCATAAATATTCCCATCATTGGCCAATTTTCAGCCAGTCCCATGGAAGTCACTTATTGCAGAACTGGGAAGAATATACACAGTCAGCTCTTCTGAGCTGGACTGCGCTGACTCTAGCACACTGTTGGTCCTGCTGGATGCTCTACCAGTGCATTAGGGAGCATAGTCCAGGAGGCTCAGCAAGGAGATGAGAGCTGGGGTTTAAGTGAAGCCAAGGGAGTACAGCATGTAGAAATAAAAAGAAAAAATCAGTATTAGAAGACATCTACTTAAGGAAAGAGGAGTCAGAAAAAGAGCAGTTAAAGAGGCAGGAGAGTCAAAAGAGAACCAGATTCATGAAATACAAGAGAAGAACTAGTTTCAAGGAGGAAGGTGTGGTTAATAGTGTCAAGTACCAGAGATCAGATAGCCTAAGAACTTAAAGGAGGTCATCAGCATTACCAGTTAAACAGTCTTTCTGTGTTTGAGACATTTTTCTGTGTTAGAAATATATTGTAATGATAAAAAAGAAAACAGCCTTCTTTCTTTCTTTTTAAGGAGACAATTAATGAATTTAGACAGAACACACTCAGTGGTGGAAGTGAGAGGTTGCCAGAAATGGGCTGGAGAGTTTGAATAAAAGGGAGGGAGTAGAAATGAAATCTTACCAGCAGTTTGGCTATTAAGGGAAGGAGAGCTCCAAGGATGGCATATTGAAAGTACAGCTTTTAAAAAGAATTATATGTCATTGATCAACTAGTAATTCAGAGGGATATATCTGTCTATAATCCAGACTAATTTGCTGATCCCAGTGACAGGCGGAACAAACATCTTACTCAAGTCCAGAAGCAGAAATGGTTTTAAATTTTGCGTAAGTGTCAATAGGAGTCACATTAATACAGAGGACATTGCATTGGTCCAATTAAATTGAATTTGTAGATATCTAGAGCCTATGTGATTCATGGTTTATTCCGTAGGTAATGGTGGTATTCCTTGTATTTTTAAAATTTGAATATTGATTGCTTGATGATTTGTTTGTGTCTAACCATGCTTTGGAATGAAAATGACTCGGTTATGAACTGTAGGTCCTTTTTATTCCTCCCTATATGAAAAAGCAATTACCTATTTTTCCCTTTTAGGTACCTCTCATTCTCCAGGAATTCTAAAAAAAAAAAAAAAATCCAGCTATTAGGTCTTAATTGTAGTACATTCAGCTGGAAGTTATTTTTAGAATACTTTCTTTTTTATTCTTCATTGGTTTCCTCTGATCCTCTGTTTTTTCAGAGCTTCCCAAGGAAACAAAGAGTGTGCGTACCAACCCAAAACACATGTGCAGTGGGAAATCATTTCTATTTTAAATATTATGTACAGGTACATTTATGTAGACCTGTTAATAGATAATAGGCATCAAGGCAACATCGAAGCAAAGCCTTTTAGGTAATCCCTATTTTAAAAGTCTCAATAGAATGGTAAAATTGAGCTTCTCCATGGCTCCCTGACCTCTATCTAGCAGGGTCTCCAATGCCACAGCTGCCTGAAGGGCAAGTCTGTAATTAGAAGATGCCAGGGTGATCTCAGAATAGAACTTCAGGCCACCTGGGCTGCATTTACAGAATCAGCTTCTCTGGAGCAACAGCAACAAAGAAGGGACTTCCTACTTAATATTTGGAAAGGGTCACCTCGAGTGGGGACTTGGAGTTTTGGTGTTGGTGTTGGCAAGAATCAAAAGAGTTGGAGAAAAGCTCAGTGAAGCATACTGAGGAACAAATCAACCCGTGATATTCAAGGAAGAGGATTCATATTTGCAGACTTTCTCAAGGGACACATTCTCTTATACTCTCACTTTTGGAATTCAATATTTTCGTCATCTGAACCTATGACACTTGCAAAGTATGGGCTTGGTGTCAGCAGACCGATGTTCTTGTGTCATCTGGCTAAATCACTTAGCCTCTTTGGGGGCCTTGGGCTCTTTCATTGGTAGAAATAAACAAATTAATAAACATGCTTCAACCATTACGGTCTGTTCATGTATTCATTGTAGGGGTGAGCAGATTCTTGATGCCACAGATTGTTCTTAGTTCAAAATGATCACATGTGGTGTTGGAGCCATAGACTGATGTATTTAACTTAGAATCAATGGCTGTCTTCTCTCTGGGGCTTTTCTTCCTCTTGGGCTCATCTCTTTTTCTCAGCCTCTTTGTCTTGTGCGGGATTTATTGTCATTCATTCCCCAATAGAACAATCTAAGAGATTATTTTAGTAGGGGTTCTCTTGGGAACCATAGCCTTCAAAATTACAAACAATGATTTTGGTGGTGGGATTTTAAGCACAGTGGTAAGTGGGTGGAGGGTGGGGGTTAGGCAGGAAATGGACAGTCAAAGAAACCTAATCACTCCCCTGATCATAGTTGGAATGGTATCGCCTCCTCCAGGAGCTTTCCTTTATATCTAGAGGGTCAGAGAGATTATTTTTAACTCTTTATGAGACCTGGAATTTTACAAGTTTGGCATGAGAAAACCTTTATAGGCCATGGCTGGTCTCTGAAAATGGCATTAATAGTCAGCTAATAACACCCTCTTTGTTTACAGTGCCATTCTTTTAAGGGGGTCAAATGAACAAAATTCACTTTCAGAAAACTCCTGCGAGGCAGGGAGAGCATGTATATTGTCTTCATTTTTCAGATGAAGAAATGGAGTTGCACATCATGTGGTCAAGCCAAATTTGACCCAAGAACCCAGTCTCTTAGCCAGGGTTATCCCTTGAACCAAGGCAAGATGCTCCTGTGTGCTGGGCTTCAGAAGTCGGGGCTCTGGGTCTTCGCAAACTCCAGCCCTTCCTAAAGGGTGACCAGTCCACAGGGCCAAGGTATCCATGCCACCAGAGTTATGAGTACCTGGGACCCACGAATTCCTCACCATAGGGCCCCTAAATGCTCTTCCAGGGCCTACGTGGGCCTCCTCACTGGATCTGTTCTGAATGTCAACAGAACCACCAGTGTGTGTACCAAGTTGTAGCCTTGACCGTAGTGTGTGGAGGGGGCTTGTGCTGCTGAAGTCCACATGCACACACTGAAGTTTTTTCTGGATTATGACAGAGCGGAGGGTGGGGAAGAGAAGCGGTTTCGGGGTCCCCTGTCCCACTCTACCACATTCTTGCCCAAACTCAGGTTAAACTGTGAGGAGTCTGAATGTGAACCTACCCTTCCAGGTTGCTTCCAGGTAGGAGACTTTTATTTTAGAGTTTGTTGGGTGTGTTTGTGACTTAAATATGCAGACAAAGTATGTGGGCCTCCATTTGTACTCTTGCCTGTCCCCCAAATGTTACGGGTGGTCCTACTTCTGACTGTCAAAGCAGACGCCAGAGGAGGAAGGTGAACTGGAATGGGTACATAATTTCACACAACTGTGATTCTCTAGCTGCACTTTGCAAATCTACAGAGGCCAAAATACAAGTCGTGTGTATTCATCACTGGGACTCTGACCAATACAATGAAAATAAAAAGGGGACTGGTTCGCATTGTTCTGCCCCACGGTTCCCCGCCCGTCCTAGGCTGGCACGCCCGGACGCCGCAGGAGGCGCGCACTCAGGACCCCGCAGGCCCGCAGCACCCCCCACCTCCGCCCCCGGCCCGGAGGCTTGCCCGGAGCCGCGGGACGTCGCCCGTTTAAGGGGCGGGGCGAGGCTCCACGTGCTTTCTGCTGAGTGACTGAACTACATAAACAGAGGCCGGGGAAGGGGGCGGGGAAGGAGGGAGAGAACAAGCTTTGACCGATAGTAACCCTGGCGCTCGGCGCAGCCGAATCTATAAAAGGAACTAGTCGCGGCAAAACCCCGGTAATTCCGAGGGAGAGTGAGTGGGGCCGGGATCCGCCGAGCCCAGCGGACACCTCTCTCCTCGGGTGCAGGTGGGGAGGGCAGGGGGTGCCGCTGGACCGGCGCTGCCAGAAACAATTTCTCGGGGCGCTTTGCTCCTGCTTCCCCCCCTTTCCCCTTCTCTGGACGGGTTTTCCAAGGGGTGGGGGGAAAGACGCACACACACAGAAGTGGAAAACAGGTAAGAGGTTCTCCAGTGACTTGGGCGTTATTGTTTTCTTTCGGGGCCGCGGAGGCCCTGGGAGGCGCTGGGTTTCGGGGACCAGGCTGAACTCCCACCTCTTGCAGCCCAAATGGGGCGGGGGCGGCATAAATGGAGAGGACGTCCTAGGACGAGCTCTGGCGACCCGAAGACGCGGCGCTACTGCGCACGGGGTTCGCCGGGCAGTGGAGCCAGGGAAGCATCTCCGGGCGTGGAGACCCAGGCGCAGTACCGCGGGCGCAGTGGGATGGGGGGTTCTGGTCGGGCCGGGGGCGCAGCTGCCGGGGCGGGGGAAGCGGGAGGCGGAGAGTGGCAGTCCCAGCACCGAGCGCTTCCCTTTGTTCCGAAGAGCCCGAGCCGGCTGGATACGCCTCCGGCTGTGGGTCGGCCGGCGCCCACTCGAACAAATGCCTGCACGGAGTCTCCGCTCCGCTCTTCAAGGCGCTGGCCTGAGTTGGGCTCTGATCTGGGGATCCGCGCCGTGCGCCCCCTGACTGGAGCGGCGCGTTTTTGTTCCCCAAGAACTTGGCTGGGTGGTGTCCCAGACGGGGTCTGTAGTGCTACTGATGACTTGAGGCCTCGGGGGCTTTGTTTGACTCGGGGGTCCTGCCTCTGGTCTCCGTGTGCGCACCCCAGCTGGTGTGCCTGGCGCAGCTGGGGAAAGCGTGATTTTTTTTTTGTTGTTGTTTGTTTGTGTTTTTAAACTCGAAAGACTTAGAAGAGCCGGAGGAAACCTGGGGCTGATGTGCCCATTTCCCCCGCCCCCATCCTTCCTGCCCTTTGCTGCTTAGTCTCCCGGGGCAGCCTTCGGCACGGCACGGATGGGGAAGCTGGGGCGAGATGGTGCCGCGGAATGACCGGGAGTAACCCCGGCGGGCGGCGCACAACTCCAAGCTCCGCCGCGGGGCTGGGCTCCGCGGTGGGGGAGGGTGGGCTCGGCACCCGCCACTCGTGGCCCCGGGGGAATGGCCCGCAGCGCCTCCTGGCCGAGTGGCCTCGGAATCGACTCTTTGGTGGGAGGGGGCTCGGGCTCCACAAAGCCTTGCCGTTGGTCGGTTCCGACTGAGGTCGGTGAAGACGGGTGATTGCAGGCTGGGAGGAAGCCCAGGAGAGCAGGCGAAAAAGGCCGTCTGGTTGTTGTTGTTGTTTTTGTTTTTTTATCAGAATGTTTCCCGATTCCCAGACCTTTGTTGCATGAGAATGGTCTTGGCGTGGGTCAGTTTCATGGTTGTGTGTAGGTAGGTGTCTTTGTCAGCATTTATCATATAGAATGAAGTAAACGAGGTGTGTGTGTTGGGCGGGGGAGGGAGGGGGAGAGAGAGAGAGAGAGAGAGAGAGAGAGAGAGAGAGAGGCGTCTGGCAGTGGAAGTAATTGGCCCTGGTCTTTTGCAACGTTAATACCATCAGCTTTTAAATCCCTACTATTATTAAGTGACACCTCACAAAGTGAGTGAGTGGTATATACATTCATATAAAAGGACACATTTGGTATAGTTCCTTGGTGATGAAAATCACCAACTCACTTTCTAAGGCCCAATCTCCGTCCCCACTACCCCAAAGAGCACCTTACAAAATTTTCCAAGTTCAAAAGCGGTTTTTACTGGTTGTTTTTACAATGGTTTGGGACCCAAACCTAAGTTTTGATTTTTTCAGACAGAGCTTCAGTCCCTCATTTCTCATGGCCCCTTTTATTTCAGCCCATTTTTCTCATATTTACCACAGAAATAATGGAGGCTTTCTGTTTGAATCATTCTCTTGAGACACTTCTCCCAAATCAAAGAAAATGTGAAATCATGGAGAATGTTCTGGAGTAGAAACTCTTCAGATAGTATGATAATTTATAAGTACAAAGTTTCTATTGTCAGCGTATTCCTGAACTGCTCCTATAAAGCAAATAATTCATGATAGTTTTAAAAAACCTTTGGTTGCACAAGCAAATTGATATCTACTTGAAAAAAGCAGTAGAATCAGAGTGACCATGCTTAATGATGACCACAGTCCATTTAAAGGACAAGAATTGATATTCTAGTACGAGTAATTCCCTTGCAAGGACAAGCCTTATGTTCTAGAATGACAGATCTTGATTTTGGAGTGGACACCTATGATACATGTGTCTGCTCTCATCCTGAGCATTTGAGATCTTGGCTCATAAATATTTCAGTTTACATCGAAATAGAGTCCTGTGATGGGCACATCTTTGACTTAGGGCATATTTACACTTCATATGAGACAGTGGTCAATCTAGGATTGAAAAAGGGTAGTTAGGGCTTGGCTGTTTTCAACCTCTGCTCTAGAAAGTCTCAGTGCTTACATTATTAAAAATGAATGAAACTCAGCAACACAGTTTTGTTTTTATTATCTTCTGCAGGTATTTACCTTATATGGGGGAGAAGTTGGAATATTTTTCCATCAAAAAATTTTTTTTAGGGATCTATCCTCCCACGAACCAAGTTACTTGGGCTACGTTCATAGTGATTGCAAATTGTTAATATCTTTGTTACTTCAATTTTTAGCTTCCAAAGTAGGTAAGCAGACATTACCTTAGCCTTTTACTTATGAATGTTTTGGATATCTAGAAATTACCAGTAGACATGTGATTTAGCACTTCTAAAATTACTCTCAAATCCAAATACATTTTTACTGTCTGGATGTTAAAGAAATAATACAAGTAAAAGGCTCTTTTTTTTTTTTTCTAATGTTTTATTTATTTCTGAGAGACAGCATGAGCAGGGGAGGGTCAGAGAGAGAGGAAGATACAGAATCTGAAACAGGCTCCAGGCTCTGAGCTAGCTGTCAGCACAGAGCCCAAAGCGGGGCTTGAACCCACGAATCGAATCGCGAGATCATGACCTGAGCCAAAGTTGGACGCTTAACCGACCGAGCCGCCCAGGTGCCCCAGTAAAATGCTCTTTATGGCCATTATTCCAGCATCAAATTTTAAATGATCTTTCTGAAAATTTGTTTTATTTAACTATTCTGGAGAGGGTCTTCATATCTGCATGTGGGAATCATCGTAAATGCCAGTTACTGCAATTTTTTTTTCATAGGCACTATTAAATAGCACCATGTGCCAAGCACTATTCCAAATGCTTTTCAAATACTAATTGAATCTCTGCAACAAACCCCATTTATCATCCCAATTTGGCAAATTAATAACTGAAAAGTTGGGGGGCCTGGACGGCTCAGTCATTTAAGCCTCTGACTTCAGCTCAGGTCATGATCTGCATCAGGCTCTGTGCTGCCAGTTCAGAGCCTGGAGCCTGCTTCACATTCTGTCTCCCTCTCTTTCTGCTACTCCCCCTCTCATTCTCTGTCTCTCAAAAATAAATGTTTAAAAAAAAATGAAACTGAAAGTTTAACTAACTTGTCCCTGCACACATCTTCCAACTGGCAAGACCAAGATTTGAACCCAGCCGGTGAACCCCAGAGTACTTTAGATCCCACACTAAGCATTGAGGTGGTACAATTTCAGCTGCTGTGAGCAGATGACTCTCTGAGGATGCACGCTGTGTTCATGGTACATTCATCTGCTATAGTCCTTATCAGAATACAGCCTGGATCATATTTCCCTTGTTGCGGTGAGGTAGCCAACCAGATTCTCCTCAGTTTAGGACCTTGATTGCATAGGGATTGCAACACCGTGGAAAGAACAGACAGTAAAATTAACTGTAATTCTTTTCTTGGTGTTTAAATGAAAATTTTACTGTTGCTTCAGTTAGGTATTTGTGAGTAGGTCTACGATGTCAAAATGTTTTCCTGTTTGTTTTTTTTTTTTATATTTTTATTTATTTCTAGGAGAGAGAGAGAGACAGCGTGAGCAGGGGAGGGTCAGAGAGAGAGGGAGATACAGACTCCGAAATAGGCTCCAGGTTCTGAGCTGGCAGTCAGCACAGAGCCCGACGCGGGGCTTGAACCCACGAACCGCGAGATCATGACCTAAGCGAAAGTCGGACGCTTAACCGACTAAGCCACCCAGGCGCCCTTCCTGTTTAATACATCTAAAATGGAATGACAGAGTCTATTTGGCTATAAAAGTATAAGGAACAAAAGACAAAGGCAAAAGAACTATTAGTTTAGCTGTTAATCTTAACTTTGGTGGGGTTTTTTTTTCCCTGTTGGTTAGAAAACAGTATAATTTCTGCTTGTTCTGTCTTAATTATGTTGTGGACCTTTTGAAATACGCTATTTCTCAGTTACTGCCATGACTGTCTAGGAATCAAATTTAGTCTTTTCATAAGGCATCCTTCTCAGAAAGTAAAACGGTTTCAAAGTCGGCTTTATGAAAGTGAAGTAGGATGGGAAACTGGTTTTCCTATTAAATTGTTTCAGCAAATTCGAAATGAATTCTTAGAAAACATTTCTGCTTTGTTAGAAACAGTTTCATTTATTGATTTACTGTATGCTGGGTGTTGTTTTAAGCATTTTACATGATGTTTCAGTTCTCATGAGAAGCACATGGATACTCTTATTATCTTCACTTTACAGATGGGGAAACTGAGATATAAACAGGTTAAGAAACCTGATCACAGAGTTTTAAGTAGTGAAGCTGAGGTTGTATCCCGGGCAGTTTAGTTTCCATGAATTTACCAGTATCAGGGTCAGGAAGGACTTTGTCAAAATACCCAAGTTTTGACAAAAGAAATACAGCAAAAGGCAAAGAGTAATTCCTTTTCCTTTGGATATTTTTACCTAAAAATAGTTCCCTGGATAGGTAACCAGTATAGATGTTGTTAGGAGAGGTACATTTAGAAATATTTGAAGCCACAGAATGAAAATCTCCTGTGTAAAATTGTTTTCAGATAGAGCTTTCTGTAACTCTGCATTCTGTTGAGACAATAAACTATATTAAAGCAAAGAGAGTTTGGGGCGCCTGGGTGGCTTAGTCGGTTAAGCGTCCGACTTTTGCTTAGGTCATGATCTCGCGGTTCGTGGGTTCGAGCCCCGCGTCGGGCTCTGTGCTGACTGCCAGCTCAGAGCCT